ACAAAAAACTTGCTGGCAAAATACATTAAAATTAAATATTAAATTTAAGTGCATCATAAACGAAAAACAATGAACCCATCAGACGGTCGAGAAAGACAGCCATCGAGTGTGAGGCTGAGATGGGTTGGGAATATACCTGGGCACAAAGTGTCGACGCCTCAATTTTCATCACACCGAAATAAGAGCAGAGGTGGAAGAAATCCGAACCCAACCCCACAAAAAGAATGAGACCCGGACGTAAGCCAACTGACAATATGTTAAACCGAAATGGTGGCATGGAGTGACGAGGCGGGATGACTTGGATTAAGCTGCACCAAAGAAAAATTCGGAAAGTGGCGAGAGAAGTGCACTGTGGAATGCAAATGTAGTGATCTTCCTTGTGGTTCCTCTGAAAAATTCCCTTTAAAGCCGCTTAAAAAATGTCTAAAGCTGCCTAAAAGTATGCAACATTTTATTTTCAGCCCAAAATTCCAATGAATAATGAATTTAATTTTTACAGCAACTTTTAGGCATCTTTAAAATTTATTTCAAAACCACAGTAGAATTCGACAGTTTTGCTTTGATATAGTGCTTAAAGAGTTTTATTTTCGGAAAAATCCCTTCAGTTGGATCCGGTTCTTTCAGTGTAGTCCCACTCCTACTGCCACTACTGCACTTGTCGATATCGACGTCAAAGTCTCGTAATGCCGGCACTCGCACTTGTCAGCCTAAAAGATGACAGTGATGGCAATGTGTTATTCTTGCCACGGTGTGGTTGCGGGAGCGAGATGGCAGCGAAAGGACGCGAGGTCCTGGCGGGTTAACACATATTACGGCCCTTGCGTATTGATGTCGATCAAACCGATATATGTATAGTACCTACATACGTATGTGAATGTGCAATATGTGCCCGTATGTGTGCGCGGCTGTATCCAACGCAATTGAGGTCATGTCCATGCGGCATCGGCGATGGCGACGTATATGCCAAAGCATTAACTCGGCATTTGTTTCAAGCTGCTCTGAGGCAAGTCCGAGAAGGGCGACACGGGCTAAGGGGCATGGGGATATTGGGGGCATTGGGGGTGGACAGATAGCGCAAGTTCGGGCCGAGAGTTGCGACATATTGAAAATCATTGCACACATACCCGTACACTCAACAAGCCAGGGGGAATGCCAAAAAAAAAAAAATAAATGGAAGCAGGAACAATGTATTGAAAGACAAACGGCATTGGCATCAATTTTTATTTGCCTGAACTGGCATGTTTGTGTATGTGTGTGTGGGGCCGGAGGAGAAAAAATTTTTATTACATTGAAAATTTGCATAAAATATTTAAGCCAAATGGTCGGTCGATTGTACGGGTTGGAAATGTGGCAAAAAAAAAACTTTCCTGATGCGATGGCAGAATATCAGCCCAGCCCCCCACTCTTTTAGGCCTGCGAAAGCTGATGGGATTTGTTGTCTGAAGATTTGACAGGCCTTAAGGGCTACAGAATGGTAACCGACAGTTGCGGTTTCGATATGCGGAATATCCCATAATAGAGTACCTTCTTGAAATGGGACCGCAGTTCAAGCGATAGCTGGCTAAATCGATTTTGAGAATATTTAAGAGCCATCATATCGATATAAATAGTATACAAAATTTGTTTATAGAAAAGTTAAAATTTGGATTAAAAAAAAACATCTACGCAGAGAGAAATGTTCAATACATTGTTCTTAAAATGAGAACATTCGTTCTTAAAAAACGTATAAGTACATTTTGTTATCAATGTTCTCTATATTAGATCGAAATGGTGAGAAGAAAAAGTTCGTTCTTCTTACAAGAAAATTTTCAGCTCAATGATAGTCAGAATTTTCTGTGTATCAAAAACTTGTTTTTAAAAGATTTTTGTTGAGCACCCCCAATTTTAAGGTCACATTTTTAAGGCCTGTTCAAAATGTAAAAAACTTTAAATTACTTAAAGCAACGAGATAGCACTACATCGCTATAAAGACGAATAGATGGAAGGAGAGAGTGGAATCCAAAGCTTCGGCCTTATAGAGAAAACTTCAAGGATTCGCTGCACGTTCGCATCTTTAACGCCATATGTTGACTTTTGCTACAATTTTCATGCTAACCCACGAGAAGTGTGGCAAGGGGCGCGGGGCTGTTGGCCATATCCTTTATCTTATATACGCTATTTTATGCCTGCCCCACACCACGCCAACTCCCCATCTTATATGGCTGTTGTTGTTTCTCGCCTCTTGCGCCAATAGATTGTGCCACCACACTTTGGCATTTTATAACATAAACTTTCATTTGTTTTCTTTCGTTTTTCTTGATGTTATTATTTTTTTCTATTTTTTTTTTGCCACATTTTTTTTTGGTTCCATTGTTGTTGTTAGTGCTTGTAATGCGCTCATGTAGTTGTGCCCCTCTACTTCGCCTCTTGTCTTTATATTCGGTTTGGGTCGCATATGTTAAGCCCCGAATACATAGAAACGAGTCTGATGTCTTGACATCTGTCTACCGGGCCCACAGCCCCCAAACACCCAGCTTTTTGGCTTTGACAATCGTCCAAAAATGTAGATTTGCATGCACATCAGCATTGGGCATACATTTATCTCGCCCACTGTCGACGATGGCCCCTTAATGCGATGGCACGCGAAAAAAAGGACAGTCAGATAATACTCAAAGGATAGGGAACAAAGGACTTTGTAGAGAAATAGTATGAGTTCAAAATAAATTGTTATTTGTATATATCATTAAATTTATAATAATAATTTACTTTATTCTGACTATTGATCTTTTATTTTTCTATAAATAATTTTGATCACCAAAAATAACAATTAAAGCTCAATAAACTTAAACTTTCACGGCCTTGCAATTAATCTTCTGGCTTTTAATACCACAAACGAGTCACCGCTTCGATTGGATAAAATGGATGTCTAGGCAGACCTGAATTCGCATTGATTGGACTGGATGTTCTGGGTTCCGTGATTGATTGATTCGAGTAAGTGCAACAGTTTATTTGCATATTTTGCAGAATTTTATTGCACAACGGTAAACAGAACTGAATTACTGCAAAAATATGCAAAATATTTAAATTGCCAAAATATCCCTTAGCCGAGCACATAAATAAGAGTTCGCAGATGTCAAGGGAGGCCAACGGGATGGACAGATGAACAGTTGCTGAAGCCAAACAAATGTAAACTCGCTTTGTAGTTTATTGAAAATTTAATAAAGTGCAGCCCACAAACACAGGGAACATGATAGATAAAATAGGGAAATGCCGAAATGCCAATGAATGCGGAGACTGCATGGAATAAGAAATACCCAAATAAATATGCTATTTGCCTTTATTGCAATTCAATTTACTATCAAAGCATCAGCCCTGGAATCAGCAGCCAATGGACATATTCGGGGTTATATTTATTCCATAAAGGATTTGCAGCTCCCTCAGCATCTCGGTATTTTTGGAATTTAAATGGAATTTAAAAAGCATTTCTGTTCGGAATGGTTGTCAACTACTCAGCACAGGTATGATGACACAAATCCGCCCGCAGGTGGGGCAAAAGCCAGGACTGGGACAGCCTTTCGACCTGCAGCTGCCTTCTGTCATCCGATTTCCTTGCACTTTTGCGATCAATAAATGTGGCTGCAGGAAAAAATACCTCTAAAACGAATGAGTGATTGTTTGAATGCGTTATCCATTTTTAATTTGATTCCTTTGGAATTTTGTTGAACTACAAACGAAAAAGAATTTTGCACGAGCTTAGAAATTCAGGTGTTAATTGATAAGAATTATTTTTAATAATAATTTTCCTTCATGTCTTGATACAATTTTAAAAATACATTATACCATCTGGATATAATTTACCTATTGCTTAAGTCATATCCAGTCTCAAACTAAAAATTTAAAAATAAAGTGCAAAGCTTAAAGATTTTTATATACCAACTATATGCAAGGAATGCAATGTTTATATAATTGTCATCCAACATAAACCTAGAAACAAAAAAAAGGATCAAATTTGTGAGCAGGGCGAGTATCAGCTTGAATTTATCAAGGGATTGTTTTCATTGTTGTTTCAAAGACAAAATCAAAATCCAACAATATGGCAGTAAACGAATTTTGGTTATAACAATGCAGTTGACCTCCGCTGGGTTGTTTCTAAAAAAAAACCACTCCACACAAACTGCGTTCAACCGCATGCAATTTTGTTAGCATGCTCATATATCCAGGGTCTGTCTATGGAACAATAGTCGTAATAGAACTGGACCAGAGGGTCCAAATTGGGGAAGGGAGCCACCTAATGGGGGACAGGGGTCAATCCAAAAATGTCCCTAGGTGTTGGCCACATGGGAGCCGAACGAACGCATCTATTTGTATTTTGTTACAGGACATGCTCTCAGTGGGCATATCCTTTACTCGCCCGAAGAGGCAGGAAGGCATGTGGATGTCACAGGGACGTCAGACAGAGACTTTTATTGAAAATGTTCAATGGCAGAAATTCATAACTGCAGCAGAAAAGTGCAAATTTGTACATTTTCTATATTTTCATATAGATTATAACCTATGAATCCAACACCTGATAATATAAGATCTTAGAGAATCTTATTTTTGCGAGATAATACAACGTAAATAACAAAATAAGATTATAAACTTAAAATATATTCAAAGACATATTGGATACAAAAATAGATCCATTTGAAATCATATTGCACACACCTTTTTGAGCAGTGCACTGCGTTTAGGTTTTCATTTTGAAATCAAACATGGAGAGTTCTGTCCCCCGGGCAGGACATTCGACTTCGCCTGCTTTTATGGCAAAGAGAATTATTGCGTTTTTGCGAAACGTTGAGTAATACGATTGCGGTGCTAATTTAGCTGCAATCTGCAATGCTTCAGTCTTAGTCTCTTTTTTGTCTCCCATATCCGGCACTTGGTTAGTGACGATGGCAAATCATTGATACGCTTCGATTGCCGAAGGGGGAATCTTATCAATGGACGGCCAAGTGGCCGTTGGCTCTTTGTAAAGGGGCTCTGCAAAGTCAGTCAGTGTCAACATGTCGTCGTGGGTTGTCTCCACCACTGAGCTGTACGATTGCGGTGCCAATGGGCCAACATCATCCTCGGCCACATCCTCGCGGCATACGCGACTTATCCTGCTGGTGTGGCATAATCTCACCGAAAAGTGCCAGAAATTCGGTAGTTTTCTACGACGGGAGACGAATAAACCACTTCCCAAAGAACTGAGGCGATCGTTACGTCTTAGCAAATCGGCCAGGCGGAAAGGCTATCGGAGCTGCGAGAGCGAGGCAGATAAACGGTACGCATTTTAAACCTATGTATTATATTTGAATGGGCTAGATAAGCCCATTGTTATTGTTTACCTCAAGGTTCGACTATGTGCCGACACCTGCTAAGTACAGTGGACCTCTATAAGGTAACTTTGAGTGGTTAAAAATATTAACTTCCTATTTAGACAGAACACAAATAAAACATCAATAGTTTCTACAATTCTTTCATATATTCTTCAAAAATTAACCCTTTAAAGGTAGAACATTTTAATCTTAAAAGTATAAATTACCGCAGACGTTGAGTGATTCGATTTATACACAACCTAACAACCTAATATATATAACCTTATCTAAATATAACTACTAAAACTTTTCCGTTCTCCAGACTGATGAAAGAGCGATTAAACGAGCCCGCCAACATATCCATTCGCATGGGTCCTGCTTACGACTATAGACCATTGAATTTCTAACCGATCTGCAAAAGAATACTAGGAAATCGTACTTCGAATTGTTATATTATATTATATTATATTGTATTATATTTGAATGGGCTAGATAAGCCCATTGTTATTGTTAAGTGGTTAAAGATATTTACTTCCTATTCAAACTGAAAACAAAATAAATTTTAGTATGATAGTTTCTACAATTCTTCCTCCAAACCCTGTAAAGGTGGACAATTTCAATCTAAAAAGTGTACTAAAATAAAAAACACCGCAGACGTTGAGTGATTCGATTTATATACAACCTAAATGTTAATATAAATAAAAAAATATAATAAATTTTATTTTTGAATCAAGGCGCCAAGTGTTCTTCTAAGCTGGTAACACCAACATCGTCTTTCTCTTTGACCCCATTTCTGAGAAATTTTAAAATATGTAAAAAAATTTACCTATTTTTACATGAATGTCGTAAGCTCTGCAACAGCTGTTGGAATCTGAAAGCTTTACCTAGTAATAAAGCTCTATATTACTCTTAGGTTCTCCCTTGATTCGATGAGCTCTTCACCCTTAGTTGGCCTCTACTCTTGAGAACGCCCACACAAAAGTTTATTGCCCCGCTCACAACAAGTGGACGTGACTTCGTGCATTTCTTATAAGGTATATCACTTATTTAATAAGAACTAAAGATGATATATATTATTGTTCTATCTAATTATACATTATTACTTGTAAATGTTGTTATATGTTAATAGATTGTTATAATTAGTTAGGAAATTAATAAGAAAAACATACTTTTCAACTTTAATTACCGATTATAAAATATAAACAAGTTAAATATTTAAAGTTTTCAAACATAAGATTTCTGTTTTGGTTATATATGTTTTAAATGCATACATTTAAAAATCATCACCTTACTTATTACCTTATTTGCTTGTAATTTGTCTAATTTTTCATTGGGCAGCACTGCATATTATAGTTCCCAAGTTATTTTTTCCTTTTTTCTTTTTTTTGATGATTAAGAAATTGTTATAAAATTAAAAAGAGCAATTAACAGTCGGTGAATTCTTGAAAATAACTCGAATTTCAGTTGGCTTTTCCTTTCCTTTGCACTAATTCGCGCCGTCTGGCACTCTCACTCTCCGCGAAGCACTCTCTTAATTCCCCAACTGGTCTCTTCCTATACGTCACAGAAAGCGTTATCTCCCCAGTTTTGTGTTGGCGCCCGCTTATTGTGAAAAACGTGTTCGACGCGGAAATGACATTGATAGTGAAATTTTAACCAAAATAATACTATAACTTTCGGCCAGCAAACCAAAAAAATACAAAAAGTGTCAGAATTTTGAAAGTGAACTTTATTCGACGCCTGGAAAATAGTTTTTACCATTTAAATATTTGAAATTATTATAAACAAAGGGTTCAGTGCAAAATGAACTTGATTTCCACATTTGTTTATTTCCTGGTGGCATTCTACAAATTCTTCAAGAAGTTCTTGTAAGTGGGCGCAATTATCTAATATTGTTAAGAGACCTTGTATTTTTGGGTGTGCCTGGCTTTGTTCTTTCTTGGCCCTTGTTTTCCTCCCTTAAAACAACAAATCTTGGAGCTTATTGATAAAACAACAAACACCCTACTCAAAAAAACATTTCGTTGTTTTTCATAAATTAAGTTTTTTTGTGAGGCTTTTCCGTCTCGGTCTTTGTTTGCCGTTTTTCTTTTGGCTTTTTTCTTGGATTTTGTTTATGCGGTTTGTTTTTGTACCTGCAGTTTTTATACAAAAATACAAATTTTGCTCCAATCTGTTGACTTGTGCGAGCGAGAAAGGGAGCGAGATAGATTCCAACCCGCTCTTTGTGTGCTCTTCCCTCTTCCCCCACTCTCGCTGTCCCGCTCTCGCTCCCCACCTAAGTAGCGCCACGTTTTTGTTTGGATTTGAGGTCGGTAGGAAATTGGATGTGGTTTTGTACCATGTGGAGATTGTAATTTACCCAAGTGCCTCTGTCTTTGGGTGTGTTTTCGCGGGCGGGGGTTTACAATAGAAATGGGTTTTTAATTACTATAACTGTCCTTATGTGGGCCTGTTTTCGGTGGGCTCTCCAGCTCTGAGGGCGTTGTACACATAATTTCAGCAAGCACATAAGATCTGTTCTGATTAAAGTGAATATATCTTGTTGGAGGAACCCGTAATTTCATCACAATTGACCGGAATTTCCCGGCTTCGAAGTGTTCCACTTGTTGAGGATAAACATGGGTGACAGAAAGTAATTCGGTGAAAGCCAATTATCCACCCTTATTAATTGCCCAGAGAAAATGTGGGTGCTATTAGTAACAGTTACATCTTGATTTGTAAATAATTGTAGATTCTTACATATATGTACGTTGTACATATGAATGTATTTCACTTCACTTAGACTTAAAGCTTTTACTTATGAATGTGTACATAGCAACGATATAACAATATTAATATTATTAACATTTATAACATTATTACAAGCTTATTATACTCAGCTTAACCGGAATGACTCAGTTCTTAGTTCGATTACATATTTACAGTTGTGCAGTACAGCTTATTTTACACTGAAATGAAAAATTGGCTTCTTACTAGTACTAAAAACAAAAAGTTTCTTAGAAAGAGTAATTGAAGTTAAGTAAATATATTTATTTTATATTTCATTGGTCAAATTAACAGTTTAACACCTTGGGGATTTTTAAGTATTTCATTTTTAACTAGTCTATTGCATTTTTTGTGTGTACTGTTGAAAACTTTTTGGAAAGACTTTGTATAGGCAAACACATTTACTATATAATACATAAAACAGTCCAAATTCCAAAATATTAAAATAAATATTTATGCTGTGCATTCGTAAAAAAGTGGGTACATATGTAATGTGTATATTATATATACTTATTTAGTAATACCGGCAAGTACAATAGTTCCATGACCCACTTTATAAGGTGCAGGAACTGGCTTGGCAAATTAGAACTTATGTAGACGATAAACTAAAGAGTGAACTTTAACCCGAAGCACTAAAACAAGGCCGCTGCTGCTGTACTCAAAGTCCTTATCTTATCTCAGCAGCTAGACCACTGGCTGCGAGAAATAAAAATACTAAATGCTCTTCTATATTATGTTAATAAATAGTTGTATTCCCCGCCTAATCTGCAGTCACCACTGACCTTGAGTGGGATTTGCGAGAACAACGCAAATCAAACCGCCTCAAACTAATTGAAACCAATTAGACCCAGGGTATATCATTTATTAGTTGCACTCCCCGTTCTTATCAACAAGTAGTAAATCCAATCCGATGCTGAGAAAATTTTTCAAATGGCTAATACCTCTCCGGTTTAAAGGTAGGAAATATACCCGAAGCCAGAGATAAGACCAGACACGATCCTCAAAAGTAGTAAATCAAATTCGTTTTAAAGATTTACGACTGAGGTGAATTATGCTCAGAGAAACTTTTGAAGTGGCTAATACCTCCGATATAAAGGTAGAAAACATACCCCGAAGCAAAAAATAAGACCAGATCGTTCTTACCACTGACCATTTTTGGAGTCCTTAAGTAACTAAGGAATTTAAGTAATCGCAAGTAACACAATACCTTTTTTTTTTGTTTTCAAAGTTCTGAAAGCCAAAGGGTTTTGTTAGATATTTAAGGTGAGTCAAACAATCCTTTTAAAATAAGTTTAAAACAAAAATCTATACAACATAAAGATGATATTTAAAAACTGATCATATGTTGTTTGAATTAACTTTACTTAAGGATAAGGAGATTCGCAAGATCTGCTTTTAAATGGCAAAGAGTAATACAAATCATTTGAATGTTTTTATTGTACCATAAATTTGCTAGTTTTTTAAGATGCGTTAGAAATTTAGGAACATATGGTGCGTGTGGTGTATATTTTCCTAATCACATGTATCACTGATACACGAGGTACACCCAATAGAGTCCAAATAAAGAGCCCCTCGCGAGTGTTTACACTAGTGTTACAGACCCTGAGAGCGCGAGCCATTGAACTTAGTACGATAATGAGGTAGAGAGTCTGTGAATATACCAGAGAGGGGTCTTCTCGCCGGGCGATTGTGCAATGGTCGGTGCTCAGTCGGCCAGGCCCCAGACAAACAGAGAGGTCTCTTGGCATTATCCTTATCAGCCATGGGTACTGAGAGCGTTGGTATAAATGTCGAAAAGCACGTACCATCGAGCTTAGTTCTTTGCAACTCGCCGTAATATTTAAACCGCCTGAAATTCGCGCTCTGTCAGTCCGCGTTAGACGAATTTCCCGGATCGCGACAAGGCTCTTCGGGCACTTTGGATATTCTTTGTGATCGGCAACTAACCATGTGTGGTTGTGCTCTCTAGTGTAGACTGCAAAATGGTGAGTCTCAGGGCCCGGTGCGATGTATTGAATTCGACCCACTGAACCACTTGCAATGTGCGCCACAAAACCTTTCGGGAAAAGCGGTCGAAGTTTCATTTTGCGTCCAGATGGAATCAGCTTTTGCCGGAGTAGAACCAGTTTTTTCCAAGCCAAAGCCGATGCGATACTCCCCATATGTAGTACGCGTATGTGTCCCAATCTGTCGCTATGCTGTTGTATAACAAAAATTAATCGCAAGGCAGCCACTAAAAGCTCAGGGCGGACTCTATTTGTCTATACCCTGTAAAAAGGCAGACAGACAAGTAGATTTATATAGAAATATACACCGATCAAAAGAAAATGCGTATTTTAAAATAAATATTACTAAAGGGCCAAATTGTTTAGTGCCAGTCAGGGAAATGTCACTATATCTACTTCCAAAAGTCTAAAAAAGAAGCATTTTGAGGGCATTTCATAGTAATTCACTAAGAAATTTGTACATAATATTTGAAAAATTATGTTACGGTAAACAAAAATGTAGTAAACAAGTCCGGAATATGCACATTCCAATCAGTTGAATAAGAAGTGAAAGATCGAGAGCTTACGTGTTTGCAATCTGTGCACCAGTTTTAAAATGCATATTTTGTATTACCATCTGGTTCAGATGCAGGTCATCTGATAGTCGAGCATCCCAGATGGTTTCGTGCGAAATCCCCTGATAAGCTTATCAAATCGCTGCCGTTCTTCCCTTTTTATTCGATTTTTGTTTGCATCGGAATAATCCATATCAGATGAATGATCTATGACCCGATCAGCCAGTGGAAGCAGGTGGTCAGC